GAACCGTTCGGAGAATCAGGAAGAGGTGCCCCTGTTAATTCTTGGGGTGTGAGAAATGTTTTCGCGTCGTTTCCTCCGAGCGACTCGAATGACTGGAGAGTATCTGGGCTATTAGAAAAGTCGAAGAGGTTTGAAGCGCCAAGCTCTTCATCGGAAAAATCGTTGAAATCGCCGCCCGACATAGCAGCTCCTGCGATCAGAGGGCTACCTGGGCCGGTAGGAGCGGGCGTCATGACCAGCGAAGAGAGGCTGGAACGACCCGTAGGCGCCGGTGGACAACGGGAAAAGTGGTGATCGGTAGGTTCAATTGAAATTTGGCGTCGCAGAATACTGTTGGCGTCGCGCGGGGGAGTCGGCAAAAAGCGTTCAAGGCATCAAACACACGTAAATTCAATTGCGGGCTCGAGTAAAAATGTCAGTATTGGTCGTAGGCGAAAATGCGATGTTGTTCTGTTCGGGAACAAAGTGTGTTGCTGACGAGTTTGGGCGTCGAATCGATAACCAGAGAAATCGGCAATTCGTGATTGTTGGGGCAGGATCGTAATATGGATGGATGGGCGAGCCCCTAGTGGTTTGGGTTTGGGTTGGATTGGATTGGATTGATTTGGGTTGGTATTGGATGGTACGGAGCAGACGCACGCGAACACAGCGGGCACAGTCGGCAGGCGCCAGCAGGTCAAGCAGGCCAGGCAGGTCGGTCAATGGAAAAACGAGACGGGACGGGCGAGACGGTCAGGGTCCTGTGCTGTCAAATACCCCTGGTCCAGGTGCGTGTTCGCAGCTAAAAGGTGTGTAGGTGTGCGTGTGGCGAGTGAGGAAGAAGAAGGAGATTACAATTTTCGTATAGTGAGGGGGATAAGGAAGGGATGATGATGGTGATAAGAGAGGATGAGGAGAAATAGAATAGGTAGGTAGGTAGGTAGGTAGCGAGGCAAAGAGATGGATGGGATTGATTGATTGACTTGATTGATGCGCCGAGTCTCCAGATGGTCTGTCTGGCCTGTCTGGTCTGGGCTAGCAGGAGAGGCTGTTACTAGCTGGTGTACCTACCTAGGTAGTGGAGATGAACGATCAGAGACAGCATAAGCGACAGTGCAGGCATTTGCTGGTTGAGATGACTTTGAACTGTGCTAATGTAGTAGCTTCGCGGGTGATGAATTGCTCTTGTTCTGTACCTTGGCTGGGCCTCTCGGGGTCGGTTGTTAACCCAGCGAGTCCCTCTTCCACACTTTGGTCAGAATGTGTGTGAAAACGTGGAGACTGGGACTGACCTTGCAGGCAAATGGTGGTAGAGAAGTGGTAACTTAGGTACCTAGTGGTGTGGGTTCAGTCGCTTGGCGAGTCTGCAAGTTCATTCCCAGTGGCGGGGGCTGGTATCTGATCCGAGATGTACCTACAGGGCCGAGTGGGTCCCGTTGTCGGCGCAAAACAGTGCGGTTGAGGAGATTTTTACACGGCTACTCTGTCGTTTCTCCATGCGGTCCGTACAGTATCGGCGCCGGTCTCGCACTTATCGGGGCTACATGGCCGGTCTTCCGCTGGATCTCCCTGGCAATTGGAGACACTGGCACAATCGCACAGTACAATACCAAACTGCTCTGCGTGCAGATCCACCTCAAGCTTGACAAGCAGATCTCCGGTGGCAGCAGACACCGACACTGATTGACAAGAAGACACAGTAAACAATGACGATATTAAATTGTGTGTATAGAGCGAGGTACTGTGTTGATTGATAGACACTCAAGAACACTCCCAAAATTAACTTATTAACGGGAAGCGGGGAATGATGATGGACAACGCTATCATCCTTGTATCGAGCAACTCATCAAAAACCTCAAAAACCATCTGAGGCCTCTCGCGTATTACGCAAGCTGTGACTCTTAAAATGACAGATGAACGGATACTCGAAGGCTATAGAATGGACAGCCTGTCTTCATCTCGACTATTCTACGGACTCGGACAAGGCGATCGTCCCGTCGGATGAGAATGGTTGATTACAATTAGAGGGTGCCATGCCTTGGCCTTAGCAGGACGATGACCAAATGATACAAGGGTTAAGCAAGCTTCCAGTAAGAAATAGTTGGTACCTGATGACCTAGGCCTGTTAGTGGACGCGCTGACAAGTCCTTCCCCTCCCCTAGACTATCGATCATCCATTGACTCACGGGGCTTTATCATGGGATATCCAGGTGTCCATGCCCCAGATACCTTCACCTCGTGCTCATACATCTTGATCTTGGTTTGAGTAAAACCAGTGTTGTCTCTTCCCACAACGCCGCCTTACGTAGACACAACCAAGACAAGAAACTGTCTCGTTATAAGTGGAGTTCAAGACATTGATGGAGGTGGGCGAGAGACATCCTCCACTGGAAGAAAGGACCCTGTAGATCCAATGGATGGATCAAGCCCAGCCCAGCCCAGCCCAGTTCTCAGACTCCCCCTTCCCATTCCCCTGGAGTCCCACGTCCAAGCATAAGCGAATCACCACCATTCAAGCCTCAGTCGCAAGTTTCAATGAGGCTTTGCCCTCCCACGCAGTACGTACATGCTGATTCTGCAGTATGAGGCACCTATGTAGTAAGCTTGCTTAGATTATTGCCCTCCCAGTGGATGCTGCGGCCTCCGCGGGCAAACCTCCCAGCTTTCCCCAGGCTTTTGCGTAACAGTCCCAAAGGGGAAATACAAATATGTAAGTTGTTATCTTGATGAACTCAACAAACTGCAACTTCCTGGTCGGTTCATACATGACATACATACTTGGCCCAGCTTGGCCTGGTCCGCGTTATCCGTATGACGACGATTGGTGAGGGGGAAACAGGTTTAATCATAAACATAACTTGCAATGGCCTATTAATTTCCCAGAATCCATGAGAAGTGTTTCAGTGTTGAAAAGAAAAGAAAACTGTCGGATTGGGTGTTATTGTGCTTGTCAGTTCTCCATTTGGCCATCGTATAAAGAAGCTGGCGCAGTTTGAGTTACGCCAAGTGTAAGTGAGGTGTACTTAGGGTTATCAAGACCAATATCACGTCAACGGCAACAGCCATTTTGTCTTGGATATGCCAACGGCACCTAAACGACCCTACCAGACAGAGTATAGCAGAAACATGGTGGAATGAGGAATATCCCTTTGCAGAATTGTGACTACTGCTGCATCTATTCCCGAAGTATCGTACCAGTGGCTTACACTTGGGGTTCGGGGAAAAGCGTAGCTCTGCAGGTTGCATAGAGGTGGGGGATTAAACTCTGATGATGGTGTTTTCAGTATGGATTGGATGCTCGTTTATCACATAGGCTATTCTAGTCGGAACGACAATGAGAGATTTTTTCTCTCAGTTCTCGCCTTACGATATACGGCAGATCAACTAACGCGGGCGATCGAATAAGATCAAACATATAAGTTTCCTTACTTGGTAGTCTAATTCTCCAGCTTTAAACCCAGCTAGAAGCGGCCCGAGTACTTAGATCGGCCCGGTAAGTTAGGCAAACATAATCCTCGAGTCTCGGTCTGCATATACCGAGACAGGTGAGGCATAACTGGTAGAAAACTACTAAGGGAGTAGTTACAGCAACAGTGACAGACTAGAACTGGGGATATGGCACCATAGTTGCTTGTTATCATAAAACTAAACCTACCGGCTGCAACCTATAATTAGTGTGATGTCAGGATGACTATTCAGAAACGCCTCGTTTGCTGCAGAGTTGATTCAATTGAGTAAAGAAAGAGATTAGGAGGGATAGTTGAGGTGTTTTCTCTCCCACTCCAACTACTCGGAGTGTAGCCGGAGGTGGATCGTCTATCAGCACATATCAAGGATGGCAAAGTCGCTCACATCATACTCAAGGAACCGTAAAACCACATCAAAACTTTCCGATGTCGCATCCTCGCGGCCGAACGTTGTTGTAGAATGTAACAAAAAGCCCATATTTGGCTTCGATATGGTTGGTGGTTGTACCGCATTATCTCTCAGTGTGCCTCACAAGGTTGGCGAGGCGTGGTAGAAAGTTGACCCAATTGGTATAGATGCAGCCGCAATCTTGCATCTGTAACAGAATGTTACGGAAACATCCCGGCCGATAAGTGATTAAACAGGAAGTATAGTAGTTTTCTTTAGTAACTACTTGGAGGGGAAATTGCCTCTGGAATGGCTTGGGATATGTGATCGAGGTGCGTTATCTGAGCGTCAACGGTTGCATGCTGTGTAACAACGATTCATACTAGAGACCCCTGTTTCATAAACCATTTGCCGCGTGTCCTTAAGAGAGCTAGACATTAGCAGGAGACAGAAGGGTTTGTGGCTTCGGGTTGAACATAGATGGTATCTCGGTGGCCTCCATAGCGTAGCATTGGTCAAGAGTGAATTGTATGTATGTTGTTGCGCCACCAGATAACGGTTCCTCTTGCCAATACGAGGCCTCGATCAGTACATGAGAGACACACTGCATATAACGGTTCAAGGCAAGGGCGCCTAATTGCGTCAAGCCAACGCCCGCACGTTGCGGGATGGCAGGATAGGAATTGACTGGTAGAAATCCTCAGGCTGTTTGGACTCAGCTTGATTGGTTCTAGTACGTCCTTCGAGACAGCTCTTAATGACTATCTATGCATGTTTCTGACTCTCCCAGTTGAAAGGACTAGTCGGGGCAGCTTTGCATCATTGAGAAGCCAATGAGGTTATACGCAAGGGATGCAGCAACCAACGTGGTATAAGTGGCGGTCTAGGAGATACAGAACAAGAAGAAATCAAAAGCAAGTCCAAGACAATGATGAATTGTCAAGCTCAAGATTAGATTCTAGGCGCGGGAATAGATGTTTTTTATCTCCCTTAATTGGCATGTCTTAGATAAAACACTTCGACTTAACGCTGACACGATCATCTATCAAAAACCCTCGGACTCACTAGCAGCGTCGATCAGCGATTCAACCTCCTCATCGCCCTTTTCTTCACCACCAAACCCCCTGAGCCTCTTCATACATCCACGTCTCCCATTCCTCCGAGGTTCACTTATTCTTGGGAAATTCTGCAACCCACTTTTCAATCTGATCAATGCCAGCCTCCTGGATGGCCTTGACCTCTGGCCAAATAGTACCAGCATTGCGATACGTATCTGTGCAGTGATTGCCCAAGGGGTTCAAAAAGTGCTTGATGTAGGTGCTGTTGCCGAGCACACCTCCAGGTCTTTGCGAAGAAGAAAATCCCGCTGCCCGCCAAGGATCATACAGACCATCAACCAAGACAGTCCTCTTCACATACGCGGAAGGGTCGCTCCAGCCTCCGTAGTGAGCGTTCCATGATTCTACCGTCTTTCCCTTGGCCAGGCCGTAGGTCTCTCCATCAGGGCCGGGAGGGAAATAACGCGCACATGTCTTCCTGAAGTACTCCCTGTTCACCAAGCGTGAGACCAGTGTCGGTGTACCCTCTGGTGAACCTGTCTGCCAGTACTCTTCAGGCTCGTTACAGAGGAGCCATTGGAGTTGCAGCGTCTCTGCAATGCCTGAACTGGCCAATGTCTTATTGGCGTAGACCAAGCTGTCAGCGTCACCAAAGTTGAAGCAGCCCGTGTTGTTCACCCCCTTCCAGGGACCTCGATCCACACATTTCCCAGGGATGTAGACCTCTTTGGTCCAGCGGGCATAGCCTTCCAGTGCCTTTTCCAGACCAATGCCTCCTGAGTCTGGAAGCTTATACTTGTCTGTAACACCAACGGCATTCTCGACGTAGTCGCAGAACTCCCACGTATCGTGTATGCGTAAAGAAGCGCCCTGATAAGACTGTGGTCCATAGTTGAGGAGGTTCATAAAATCATCGTTGTGTTTGAGATCAGGAGCCCCGAAGTCTTCCTTGATTTGCTGGATTTCATCTGCCGAGCCTATTGAGTGTATTAGTACCATGGCGCTTTTCAATAGTCCGGCGCTATCTACCGTTAAGCATGACATTGTCCAGATGCTCAATGACCTTCTCGACATCTGCTGTACAGTTCTTGGGTAGATATGCTTTGGCAGCGTCAAAGTACCTCCAGTAGTCAGAGATCGCTTGTGGTGGTGCACTTGACGCCCAGCTTGCCCAGAATGTACCTGGAGACAGTTTTTGCGTGAACAAGACTCGGTTTCCCTGTCCCGAGCACCCTGTGTGAACCCAAGGCACCTTGGCCGGCCTGGCACTACCATTTTTCGCGAATGGTAGTTTGACATTTTCAGCAAAGTATACTTTATCGCGTATCATCTGATCCTCGGTATAGTACTTCATATTCTCAGTTGTGAGTTGCTGATATGGCGACGACTGACCGAAATATCGATCCTCAAGCAGCAGCATCACAGCCCCAATGCGTCGTGCAATCATACCGCCAATGACATAGTCATCGTGCAACCAGAACTTCACTTGTTCAGCCTCAGCATCGAGGGGGGATATGAACACGACAGGGGGATTGGTGCCATTCGCATAATTAAGGCTGTACCAGTACCGTTGCTTGAAGGTGCCTCGAGAAGGTTCATCGTGATCGATCAGTTGGTCGAATGTGCCCCCAATAACGCCCGTCGTGTCATCATCCCGTTTGGCTAGACGAGATTTCGGTGAAGTTTCAAAGTGCGTTACTTGTCGCGGGCTGAATCCGTAGACTTGCTGAAGCAAGACGGCAGCGGTTACGACCCTGCTGAAAAGACGCATCTTGAGTTGTTGTCTCGCAGAACGTGCCCGCCGGGACTAGAGCAGTCGGTAACGGCATTATATCCTCTTTTGAGCCGTACAAAATACATGTAGGCCAGGGAATCTCAAGACTGGAGATCCGACATCCGGGCAGCCCCGTGTCATTTGATTGCTGTCGTGTCATGTAAACTCAGTGTGTCGTATTGTATAAACTCTGGAGGAGAACAGGGCAGCGAGTCTCTTTAGTATGAAAGCATATATCCTGGCTATTCCGTAAAAAGTAAATCCCAGGGGCTTTTACAACGACAGCCCTGTCCATGTTGCTGAGAAAGTGGTATTCAACCCCTGTCGAACGTGATCTAATCGTCCTATCGTGATCAAATTTGGACAATCGCTTAACTCGCCGTTGAGTATCAACTCGACATCGCCAGACAGCACCAAGTAACACCAGGTTGGCTATTGGTGGATTAAAGAAAATATATAAATAGAGCCGAAGAGAGGAGTCGAACAGGTTTGAACTTCACCGTCCCAAGAACGCATGTGACGGGGCGGATTTACCGTGAACACAAGCGTATGACACGGCTATAACCATGGTTAGGAAACATCGAATAGAGAGTTCATAGAGGCATATGGTTTATACACAGACATTCAGGGATAAAAGTCATGCCAGGCACATCGGCTCCGAACTCTGCCCACCAGGACTCAGGTTACCAGAAGTGAGTTTGCAGAGAGCCCTGGAATTCGTCTCGCTATTGAATTGACCACATGGAGACTTGTGTTGTTTAACCCAGTCCGTTATAATGGTGTCCAAAGGTGACCCATTGGATTTGTCCTGATAGCCGCATCAAAAGTTTCTCTGTGATGAGGGACATCGCACAACAGACATGACAGGAGACTGACAGCGGAAAGTATACGAGGGAAATACGTACCATGACACTATAACAGCTTCTTTGAACAAACAGGAGCTTGAAACAGTATCATCGTGAATCTCATCATCAAAACAAAAACCTCAAAGACCCTCTATCGTAAGCAGAGGTGAGAATATGAACAAGTTTAATTCATTCGTGACCCGATATGAGCTATATCAGGCAGGTATCATGACAAAATAAAACAGACCAAAAGGATACCACAGCAATAAAGGGAACCGATCAGACTCCAAATGTCCACACCAAGCCGCAAGAGTTAATAGACCTGTGCCTTCAAGCTCAGGCCTTTTTACAACCTCGGGCAAAATAGACCCGACAAATAGCTTTAGAAACCATCGACCAAAGTCGTCTCCAAGAGAGATGAGCTATATTATCGTAGCAGACCATTTTTCTTGGGAAGCTCTCGGTCAAGGAACTGGAGGCTTTCTGGCCCCTTCGTTCGCCAGGTCATCTGCTCGGTGATTTCCAAAATCACTGGCGTGTCCTTTCACCCATTGGAAAGAGGTTTTTGACCCGGCTGCATCGCGTGCTTTTATCCTCGCTAATACGCTGCTCACAATGTCCTGGTTCTTGATTGGCCCCCCTGCCGCATTCTTCCATCCATTTCGCTCCCAACCGGGGCCCCATTGTGTAACACACTTGATGGAATACTGACTGTCAGAAACAATCTCAACGTCCTGTGTTGAAGGCGCAATCTCTAGTGCACGAAGTATCGCCATCAGTTCAGCACGCTGATTAGTCTGAAGCTCGCCCGGAAGACGCTCCGCAAGGTTACGCTCGTCATTAGGGCCAAAGTAAACTCCAAGGCCAGCACGAGAGCCAGCCTGGCCGTTGGCAAGACTGCTGCCGTCGGTCCAAATCGTGAGTACATTTCCGTTATTTTCATGATGGGGCTCGGCGCGAGGTGCAGCTTTTGGTGCAGCTTTTGGTCTTCGTGTAGGCTCAGCCTTGACCTTTTTGGTAAATGCTTCTACAGGTTCAAAAGCAGCCCCAGTGTACTCTTGCGTCTTCTCAAGTGATATACCCAGACGTCGGCAGGTCTCGGGGCTGGCGTTCTGTCTAATGAAATCCTCCGCGTCTGCTTGCGTATTGAACCTCTTGTGCTTGGGTCCAGCGACCTCTGTGACTTGTGGCTGGGTCTCATCCCAGGTATGATAGATACCTGGAACATGGCCTACGGCCACGGCATAGAACTTCGGGCGGTCCCTATCCGCCGATGGGTTCTCATGGCCCGCGACGTAGGCCTGGGCATCCTCTCTTGTTAGGAATGACTTGACTATATATTGGTCAATTAATCTGTCTGCAGCGGCCTAGGTTTTCGCATTTGCGTAGGATCGCTACTCACATTTCGCACCTGGGAACCCGGTGGTTTGTGCTTGACATTCATCATAATTCAAATAGACGCCAGGTTCCCTTCCCTTTTGGACAGCGTAGAACTTCGTAGCGTTTGCCGTTTTCCTCATCTTGGACGATGAACCTGCCCCGAAACCACCACTGGGGGCATTGCGCTTCTTAACCATTTCGGCGTCGTGTTCTTCTAGAGAATCTGTGTAATCGGTGCTGCAACTGTCTCGATCGAAAGCCCTGACCGTGGGGGTAGTGAGGAGAAAGTTGAAAATCGATAGGTCAACAGGGCCTCTGCTCGCGGTAGGTGCAGATGCAGGTCGTCGCGAGGCGCTTGTATACCTGTCGCAGTGGTCTGCTGCTTCTTTAACAGAGCGGGTGAAGCTACGGGTGGCCGTCAATGCAGCGTTAACTCCAACGCCAGGACTGTCGCGACAAGCGACGGCACAAGAGGGAAATCGGCGGCCAACTAGTCATAGAAGATGCATGTTGATGGTCAAAGTAGCAACAAACAGACAAGACTGCCCCCTGCTTATCGATAATCTCGAAAGACCCACGGAGCTGGCGAGCTTCTTGACGAAGAAAGGCTAAGGTATGTGTTGGGTCGTTTGGTTTGAAAGGTCAAAGGTGCAGGGTGCAAGCACGGATACAAAGAGGGGCAGGTCCTGAAGCGCGTGGAGCAAGGGTCCCTTCACATCAGGCACTCCCGTCTTTTAGTAACGGAAGTACATTACATTGCATCACATCAATGAATCAATGCAAAGCTACCTAACCAGGAGGCAGGCAATATTCCAGATAAGAAAAAGTCAATTGATACATGTCATGCTGCGTAAATGAAGCTAGCATGCTACAATGAGTTCCACGTCCGACTTCTTCCAATGCTTTCTCCTCCATGCCCAAGCTATTGTTACAAAACCAACGCCAATATTTGTTAATCGACTCCTCACCTGGTATGTAAAGAGCTATCTAAACCCTTTGTGTGTTGTCCAGCCAATGCAACAGCTGTAAGTAAGTCCATAAAACGCACCCTGCCAGGCAGTGGTAGATAATCGTAATCATGTTGTCGGCCTGGGTTATTGTTGTCCACAGGCAGTATCGTGCGGCACGTAATACTCTATCATTGCTCTCTGGGAGCTTTGCTGTCACTCTAGCTTCGCGTGTATAGCAACGGAGCCGATGAGTCTCATATCGACCTCGGAGGTGGTAATCCTAAACATGAGTGATGGGGTCAAGAGGAGGCAAGTTGGGTACGCCATCACGTTCCCATTCCCAGGCCATCAAGCTCCAGTTGAGCTCTCGTCTCCAGAAGAGCCCCAGTCCTCGTCCACCTCCATCCGGACGATCGTCTGAGCTCAATCCTCCGCTGCGAGGCATGTGTGTAGCAAAAACAGCCTTTCCCATTCGAGAGTGAAGGATGCCCATAGAGCAGGACACACAAGGCTCATGGGTAACATAGAGCTCGAGCCCGTGGCAGAGATAACCATCTTTGTTCGGATGCTCTTGTTCGAAGCATTGCTTCTCTATCTCGAGCAAAGGACCGTCTTGGAATGCGTCATATTCGAGATTGGGTGCCATGAAAGGCAGGCCGGCGGCTCGTCTCTCGTGTCGAACAAGTTTCTGGGCGACCATGCTTATAGCACGAACAACACAGTGCGTCATGGGGTTGCTGGTACCCTCCAGCAGGCCGCACTCCTGATGCCAGCGAGCATCTCCAGCAACCCCGACAAGTTCGACTTTTCCTCCCTCCCTCTGGACAATCACAGCTCCGACAGCTTCGCCGATCCCGGTTTCTTTAGCTTGTAAAGCAACACGATGGGCTAGCGCCATCCATACGGAGGCGTCGTCCTTGATATCTTCAGTTCCCCGGGCTACTATACTAGGGTGTGGACCCAAAGGGTTGTTCTTCCGATATACTGTTGGCCAAAATTGAGCAGACCACATAGCCGCTTGTATTTGAGATGTTGGTGCAAGTAGTGGAATGGGGATCTTCTCGATGAAGAGGTCGGTCTCCGCGCCTTCAACAATGGAAAGAACCTCCACTAGTTCCTCTCGGGTAAAATCTTTAACTTCTCCAATTATGATGTAAATCCATGTTGATTTGGCTGTATGAATTTGTCGACCAACTGAACTGTCATTCATGAACTGAGTCTTCAGGTGGGCTGGAAGATCACCGGGTTTGGAGCATCTGCGCAGATGAGGCAGGGGGTTAGCGCTGTTATCATCTGGTCGCATGTTACGCAAGGCCCTATAGTTTCAGTAGTTAGTATCAAATCCATAGTTTATTTGGCACACTTGGGGTCTTGATAATAGCATACGTGATGACATCGTTGGCTTGTTTGGTAGGTGCCCGCGTGATGTACGCATGAGTGATTGTGTGATCCTGCCGAACCTCCTGAGTTGTTTTGAGGGGGATCAAGACACCACGGCGAGTGTGTCCTTCCTTCAAGTCATCGATCAGAGGGTTCGAGAGAATTTCAGATGGGCCGCGATGTTCGATCTTTGTGGGCGCAGACGCCTCAACGGGCTCAGGAGTTTGGCAGACCTCACTAGACGGCCCGGCCGCCGAGTTGTCTTGAATTGCATCCATCTGCAGCCCTGGGTATCGCCTATTGACTGTGGTTAGCTACCGACCCAAACAGATACAACAAGTTGACGACATACTAAACGTGGTCTTCGTGCCTGTGAAGAACTCGGATGGAAGTAAGCGCGATGTTTTCGGGTTGCAGCGGTATTACGGTAGACGATGGCGGAGTTTCCAAGATCAGTTGCGTCTTGAGAAGAGAGAGTTGAGTTTGGAGGAGACGATGAAGAGACGACGAATGTTGTTATGATGCGAGGTCTCGTGACGAAAGAAGGCGCAACTTGGGACGAATTTAGGCAAGAGCGCACCACTCTTCACTTCTGACTCTCCTAAGGTACCTATCTCTCGTTCTTTCTCCTGTTTGAGCACTTTTATCAGTGACTGTTCCCAACTAACTCAGGTTAATAACAACCATTTGCAGTGGGCACTTACCCTTTACTATGTGCTTCGAAAACAAGTCTCTGGGTATGAAAGATCAGAGATAGATAAGTGTTTGAAAGCAAAAGAGTAATGATCTTGCAATCAGATGGAGGCCTAATGAGCAAGTCTTGTGCGTATTTCGCTACCATTCGAGGCGAACGATTCTGCACTTGATTCTGGCAGTGGCAGCACCTGGCAAGGAACTGTCAAGTAAATGTCTGCAGTAACGCCCAATGAATAGCGGTTTCTTTGACAATACCTACTTCCAAGGTAGAAGACCAGTTGATCCTTATTAATTCCAGGCTGCGAATGAATGAGCTTTTCGCTTTCACTTTCCAAATGAATCAACTCTTTCACTGCCTTGGCAGGATCTTCAAAAGGCCTGCTACAAACAGAGCCCTTTTGCGATCGCGAGCAGCTTTGATCGAGCTTTCCACGCCTAAATTCTCTTTGTAAGCACACGAAACATCAACATGGGAGTTGTCGTGTTTTTCTGTATCGTCCACTTGGACTGTGCCTTCAGAATGTCCTGTATCCCCATTAACTCGCTGGCATTGAAGTTGATGATAAGTTCTGTCAACCCTGTGGATCAATTGTGGCGGGGACCTGCATATGTGGCTTGGGGTCTGTAAGCCACTTCTTTCGGCTTACCCTATATACTCTGACTTGTGCCATCACCATTGTGTAAGACAATACAATACACCAGGCAATTATTGTGATTCAAGGCTGTTCTTTCGCCGCTTGCTGACTGGTACCCAAAATCTTGGCTATGTGTATTGGGCAGTCATTTCGTCCGCGTGAGGCAGGTAACAGCATGGCTGTCATCCAATTTGAACACACCAAGGGTTGAGCATGACAATGCAATCATGAGCTTTGACATTCGATTAGCCTACAAGTGCAAAACAACCATCACATGAAGTTCATACACAGCTACGCATCTACAATCACTTATTTCGAAGTACCATGGGAGACAAACATGTCATATCAACCCCGCGTCTCCCCACCAGACGTTATGTTAAATGAGAGCGATTCATCCTGTTGGTTCGGATATGCCCCCGAATATCACCATAAACAGATGAATGGCCGCTTTCGTGGGGAATAGGTTCTAAGGCTACCTCTTTTGGCAACTGAATCTTGCATCCCCCATACTCTGAATATGCGGAGAAATCACTCCACGTAAAGCATCTGATGCCGATGCACCGGCATACCGGGCTGTCAACCGATCAAGGCTGTAGTTACAGTCATGGTATGAAGTACTGAATGGGGCCAGACACACAAGTGAACGTGATAGACGGTTGCCTGCATACACTATAAAGGGGCAGTGTTTGGTGCTCCGTCAATCACAGTGAGCTATCATGCTGCTTGGGCTGCTGACAATGCCAAACGCACATAAAGCTCACAGCCTGGCTGAACGTCCCCTAAACGTCACATGCTGTACGCCCCGAGCATACTCTTTCGGGGGCCTAGGATGAGAGCATTTTACCGGAGCCATAATTCGGAGCTTTGGGGGCAGTTTTCGGGACCAGGATAGACCATCCGGCGGCAGTCGAATTCACCTTTGCACTTACACTGGGCTCACCTACTACGTAGTAAGATAGCAGCAATATTGGTTCCTAGCTGGAGCATGCATTGACCGCGTTTGACTGGCAGTAACAAATAAAAGAACACTACAGTCTTGCATCGTACTCATAGTTGCTGAACCAAGACATGGTTTCAGGAGTCGGAGGATAATAGGATCGCTAGGGTTTGAGCATAAAGAGCTTACATGTTGTCACGGGGCATTGTACAACGGTGCCTACGCATTACTGACGATAGGCCACCGAGAAGCAAGCCAGCCATAGTCGGTACATGTACGATAAGACAAAAGGCCAGAAAAGCCGAGCAGGAAGAGAAATGACCTATCGGGACCATCCCCGCGTTACAGTATGTACTGGCCTGTGCTCTCTTATAATGGTAATGAATAAAGTCGAGGACAAGGAGTATCCTTTGTTGAGGTGTCATGATGCATGGTTCGATAGACATGAATGAAACACGGACAAAATAAGAAATGCAGTCAACAGAGCCACGGTCGTGTAATATTCGCATGATTGATAAGAGTCATACTGAGACTCGTATCAAGCCATGGAACGACAGGGACAGCGGCACAACGCGAAGGCTTCTGATTGATAGTTTATGATATCCAAGGCTTTGCTCGAATGATATTCAGGGCCAGTGCGCCAGGGAGACAAAAATTGACTGGGACCCCACGGACGAATTCATGACGCCTGAGCGCCCACGGGTAAACATGATTCGTAGTGGAATAGGAGTTGAAAGGGGATGCAATGATAGATTGGACGGCATTCATGCGAGATGACTGTCGCATTATTGGTCTCACCTCTATCGCACCGGGCGATGAGATGAAAGGACACGAGCAAGGAGCCAAGCGCTGAGCTGTAAAGCAAGATCAGGGTGAGAGTGACGGTGACGGTGACAGGTCAGCCGCGAATCGAATCTCACATGTTCCGTGAGAAAATGAGGCGCCTCTTTTGCAACATCGACCAAGTCTTACGCATATTGTGAGGGTAATTCTGCATCTCTACCAACTGTAGAAACCGCAAGAAGACCAAAGATAACGGTAGGGGTAAGTTGACTGTCCCCCTCATGCAACGCGATGCATGTGCAGATGCGAGTTTAGTTTTTGCTCATCGCTTGCTTCGCTTCGCTTTGCTTGTGAAGGTTCCCCCGCGGCGAGATCGGAGAAAGCTGCACTAGGGATGACTCCTTTTGGGTTGAGGTGAAAGGAAGCAAGGATCTTATACCTTGCAGGAGCTTCCAGCGCTGGAGAAGAAGGTCTTGGACGTGCAGTAGCGCGGCGTCTGCTTCTTTGAGCGAGAAGAACTATTGGAGCTTGACCTGATGTGGTCTAAAACGGTGTATGTTTGGTAGGGGTGCCATGCATAGCTGCGAACAGAGGTTCGGGGGTTTAAAGTACCGCCGGATTAAGTGCACATTTTTCGAGATGAGAGACATGGAATTTAAGCTTGAAAATCACAATTTCATTGTTACAGGCACTTGAAATTCGTTTCCGCTCTAACAGTGATGATCTTGATACTCAGACCGGAACAAGTTGACTGCCAGACACAGTTAATGTGTTTGTGTGGCTTGCAGGGGTAAAAGCATCCATGGATGAAAGAGACCCAAGCTACGGAGGACTTTGAGCTCTGATTTTCTGTAAGGGAAGTCTATCATCAGAAACGACAGTTTATTGAGATAGACTTGTCGTATAACTCAAAGAAGGTTTTAGTTGCAAGATAAACATTTTAACGGGTGTTATTTGCAGTGATAATGAACTTTCAAAAGAAGAAGAAAACAATTCACACTTATTCAAGAAAATTGTGATAGATGCTCAAAATTTAGAGAATGCGTTCCACCAGGGCGGACTGGGTTGTCGCCTGACGCGCATGTCATCTTCAAAGCGTTGTAACACAGATGAGACTTATGACGACTAATTCACAAGCTTTATCCCTTCCAGTCCTCAACAGCTTCAGGAGAGACAAGCACCAGCACAACAAGACAGCTCGGTGAGTTAGAGATTCATTAGTACGAGTGTTCCAACAAGGGCCAAGCGCCACCGTCCCGTGTCTCAAAGGCTCTGCTGAACCATTCAAAGCCAAAAAGCTTGGCGGAATTTGAGGGCTTGTAAAAAGCTTCCTTACTGGAATCTTGTGCAGGGAGAGTTAACAAAAAGAACCAAAAATGGCCACGGAGTCGTGAATCCGAAGTCCCTTGAAACTCAGCCGCTAGATTTACTGCAAAGGGACGAATCCGAGAGGTGCGTTGAAAATACATGTAGCATATCTCGGATTTGTGATACCGCCAGATGTCGTAGATTTGGGCAACCTTGTCCTGGACACGTAAGGCCACGACATGCCATGCTATATTATTATATGGCGGGATTATCGGTACATGATTAATTGAAGGAGCTGGCAGGTGTTGAACTAAAGCATAAGGAGGCCCAGCTGGGCGGTACATATGCTCAAGGATCTCGGGTCCCGACATGTTATTTCATTTAAGATGCACATACAGTGCCTCAACCAGACCATATTGTTGAGAATGAGCCTATACCTGTTGTCTGCCTGGAACGTGCTTTCGTATAGAAACCCAAAAGGGGGTGGAAGTGACTTGGGATCTTGATGCAAAGTCGCAGGGCATCCTGTACCTGAAAGCCAGTTGGTGTGTAGGATGCACAGCTGAGGTTGGCTGGTTGGTTGGAAAAGTACAATGATGTAAGATGTAAGTCGGTACAAACAAGACCGAGGGATCGATCCAATGTAATGCAGCGCCACCCAAGGGCGACGAGTCTCACGAGCCACTATCCCCAGGCCAGCAGACACACCTTGGCTTGACTTTCTGACCTTTCAGGCTTTCACCGTAGGTACATACAGTTTCTGACGATTGACTATTCCCACACGTTATCATTGGCCCTGAAATTTACATCGCGGTACAGTAGAAATGGATTTTCCCGCACACCTCGTTAGCTCAAAGCCTGAAGTGCCTGTCTGGGCATTGGGGGGGTTAGACTTTTGACTTGACTCTGCGGCCATTTACTCGGGGCTCCAGCTCCTCGCCCGTCTGGTAATAAAACCACCGACACGGGCCCTCAACCACCTGGGCTCACA